TTCCCCACCTTGCACCCAGTCACTCATAATCCCCCAGGTCTGTGACCCTATTCACTCCAGTAGGCAACTGCTCCCAGGTTTGTGACTGCCAAAATCACCTGGGAATCTGCATCCAGCAGGGGGGCCTTTCGTGTTTAAATTAGGCTGTGAAACTTCTCTTAATTCTAGCCCCTCGCCTTCTGTTGTGGCTAGATTCCTCTACAAGTCAAGACTGCTACCACTGAGGAACAACTCAACCCTGGGCAGCAATTAGATTTTACACTCAGGTGTTAATCCCTGCCTCTGCCTGCCCACTGCCTTTTTCTCAGCATTCCCCTGAGGGCGAGGTGCTCTTTGGGAAATCTGAGTCCAGTCAGGCAGGGGAAGAATTTATGCTTTAAAAGTTGTGGCCATTACAGCCTCACACCTTCTGTCCAGTCTAAATTCTTCTGCAACTCAGAGGCTTTCTAGAGCTGGTGAATAACTCAGCTCCTAGCCTGAAGCAAATTAGAGTTTACACTCAGATGTCAATTCCAGCCTCTGCCCGCCCACTGCCTTTGTCTCATCTATTCCCCTGAGGGCTGGTGCTAATTGTCTCTTTACTTACAAAAGTTACCAAGTCCATTCGTTTGGCCTGTGGCTGCTGCCGGAAACCTCTTGGTTGCCCAGAGAGATGCGGCTCGCCTATCTGGAATGGCATCAGCTCGCAGCTCAGGATGCCACTGCTGCTGTATGGCTTCCTCTGATCCAACTATCTTCTTCTCACTCCTGTGCCACCGTCAGCGCAGAGCAGCACCAGCCCTTTCCCCCTCTACTTCTTTCCAGGAGATGCCCAAGAATCTGGACTCCATAGGTAACAAACCTTCAGACCTCAGGGTGAGCTGGGGGAAGTCCTCAGAGTTCAATGTTGCAGGTGGGGACTATATACAGTTTTATACAGCTTTACAGTGTTATGCCTGGCAGGAGGGTGCCGTGGCACACCAGCAGGGGTAAGAGGTCCATTTTTTAGTGGGTCTCTCCCATGGGATAGAGTGGGAGGATGTTTGAACTCTGCTTGCTTGTTTGCATGGAGTAAACTGCAAACCCTTCTTATGGGGGAAGGGGACTCTTGTCCACTTGGTGGTGGATTTTGTACCTTTTGATTATATTTTGGGGGTCACAACTCACCTCAGGAAAGTTGATGCGCACTCTTCAATCTTCTCTCTTGGCTCTGCTGTAAACCATCAGCTCCTTTGCTAAACTTCTGTCCTTTAAGCCTCCTTCTGGATGGGAGCTTCTGTAAAAAGCTGGCTGCAGTCCACCATCTTGGCTCTGCCCCTCATCTTCAGCTATTTCTTTTCTTAGAGTTTCATAGTTCTCCTTATAGAGATCTTTCACATCTTTTGTTAGGTAAATTCCCAGATATTTCATCTTCTTTGGCACTATTGTAAACGGAATAGAGTCCTTGATTATTTTTTCAGCTTGACTATTGTTGGCATATATAAAAGCTACTGACTTGTAAGTATTGATTTTGTATTCTGAGACACTGCTGTATTACTTGATCACTTCTAAGAGTTTTGAAGTTGAGTCCCTGGGATTTTCCAGGCATAGGATCATATCACCAGTGAAGAGTGAGAGTTTGATCTCCTCTGACCTTATTTGGATACCATTGATCACTTTCTCTTGCTTGATTGCCATAGCTAAGACTTCCATTACTGTGTCAAATAGCAGTGGAGACAATGGGCATCCTTGCCTTGTTCCTGATTTAAGTGGGAATGTTTTCAGTTTTACACCATTCAATATGATATTGGCTGTGGGTTTGCTGTAGATGGCCCCTATTAGTTTAAGAAATGTTCCTTCTATTCCTATTTTCTTAAGAATTCTGATCATGAAAAGATGCTGTATATTATCAAAGGCTTTTTCTGCATCTATTGAATCATGTGGTCTTTGTTTTTTATTTTATTGATGTGATGTATTACATTTATAAATTTGCACATGTTGAGCCAACCCTGTAACCCTGGAATAAAACCAACTTGATCATGATGTATAATTTTTTTGATGTGTTGTTAAATTCTGTTTGCTAAAATCTTATTGAATATTTTTGCATCTGTATTCATTAATGATATCGGTCTATAATTTTCTTTCTTTGTTGGATCCTTTCCTGGTTTGGGTATTGGGGTGATATTTGCTTCCTAGAACGTGTTGGGAAGTATTCCTTCTTTTTCTCTGCTTTGGAAAAGGTTGTACAATATAGGTACTCATTCCTCTTGAAAGGTCTGATAGAATTCAGATATGAAGCCATCTGGTCCTGGACTTTTCTTTTTAGGGAGATTTCATATTGTTGATGCTATTTCAGTGGTTGATATAGGTCTATTCAAGATTTCTAATTCTTTCTGGTTGAGTCTAGGGGGTGGCATGCTTCCAGGTATTGGTCCATTTCTTTCAGATTTTCATATTTCTGGGTATAGAGATTTTTGTAGTAATTATTGAGGATTTTTTGAATTTCTGAAGTGTTGCTGTTATTTCTCCTTTATCATCTCTGATAGACAATATTAGAGATTTTACTTTTCCATTTCTGGTTAGGTTGGCCAAAGGTTTATCAATTTTGTTAATCTTTTCAAAACACCAACTTTTTGTTTCATTGATCTTCTGAAGGATTTTTTTGTTTTCAATTTTTTTAAAATTCTGCCCTAATTTTGGTTATTTCTTTTCTTCTGCTAGGGTTTGGAGTTGCAATGTTCTTCCTTTTCTAGTTGTTTGAGATGATCCATTAAGTTGTTGGCTTCCTCTGTTTCTGTTCTCTTGATGAACACTTCCAATGCTATAAATTTCCCTCTTAGGACTGCCTTTGTAGTATTCCACAGGTTTTGATAATTTGTGTCTTCATTATCATTTAGTTCCAAAAATTTGGTGATTTCCTTCTTAATCTCATCTTTTTTTTTTTTTTTTTT